GTGATGGCTATTTAACAGTCTGATGGCCTTGAGATAGAAGCTGTTTTTAATTATCTCGGTCCCAGCTTTGATGCACCTGTACTGACAGTGTCACTAGGACCAGGCCCTGGACTTCCTGTGTTTTCTCTTCAAAACCAATACCCCTCTATTTTTTGTTCCTCTCTTCACACAAAGTTTGTATGGAGCGTGTAAGAGGGACCTCGGATAACTGTCTGGAAGAGTGCCCTCTGCTCCTCTAATCGCTCTTTCTAGGTTAAGTTTCTCTGTTATGATGTCACAGAGGATAACATCAGAAATGTTGAGTAAATCAGAAGAAGAAAAAAAATGGATTTTGTGACGCAGAGATTGAATGTAAATAAATAATCAATAATGATTTACTGAATGTGTATTTTAGCATTCTGTCTACACAGCATTCTGCCTTCAACCAAAACATAAGAGAGAGAGAGATAGTCCTTTAGTCTGTAGCCAGACAGCCTTCATAGAAAGCAGGTGGATAGACAATCTCAGCCAAAAGAGATAAGAACTCAACTTCCTCTTAATTCTCAGGTGCTGGGAATAAGTCTCAAATATAAGGAAAATGTCTGTCTATACATTTCAGCAGTTTCAAAAGCATTGCTCTGCTATTCAAATTGTTAGTGTAGGAGCATTTGGCTTCAAGAAACAATTCTGTTTACATTCTTCTGCTCGGAGGGGGGGGGGGGGGGGCAAGTCTACAGCGAGTCTCGCGCGCTACCTACGGGCGTGAGAAATTTGCATCTTTACACTACAGTAATATAGGTATGAGTTTTTTTTTTTTTCTTGAATGTTTGGTCGTGTAAACGACCTATAAACATCCCTTAACTAAACCTTTACCACTGCACAGCAGCGTCACACAGTGGTACACTGGAGCACTACAACCACTTAATCTGACCAACAAGAAATCATGTTTCATGTAATACAGTACATTTACATTTTAGTCATTTAGAACCCTCTTATACAGAGCAACTTACAGGAGCAATTAGGGTTAAGTGCCTTGCTCATGGGCACATAGAGCTTTTTCACCTAGCTGTATTACTGTAGCAGTCAAAAATATATTGATGGCAATATCACCAAAAGCCATTAAAAGCATAAATGCCCTCCCTGGTTGTCTTCATTAGGCACCAAAATAAAGAAAATTGAGTTAAACAGGGAGGGACTACCTGAAATTGTTCAATAAAGAACAGCTTATTTATGTTTTCTGTTGAGTCAGAGTTCAGCCAGACTTAAACCGAGGGTCAGTGCCATGTTAACATCCAAGGAGGAATAGACAAGTAAGATCAATATTAGATTGATGCAAAGTCACTGCGTCTCCATGGCCACCAAGTCACGACCGGCACGTCTTGCTGATGCGTCTACATTAGGCATCAGGAAATCTCCTTCGTCGATACGACACATTACTGACACTTCCTGGTGTGACCATGAAGGTTAAACACATTGATTAGCCACAATGTGATACTGATGAGTAAACCATAAATTACATCTATGGTACTAAAGGAGGAGCGAAGTAGTTTATTTAAATTTTGTAAGTACAATAAGTAAGGAGCCTTGACTTGTGCGAGCCGGAACCGCTCATAGGAGCAGGAGCCGATCTCCTGTTTGTGTAGCGTGGCAGCTTGATGTACATGTACACCTCCTGGACAGGACGCTAGTCTATCGCAGGGCCTGTAAATATAGTACCAAACAAACAAACTCCTATCACACCACATACAACGACATGATCCACAATGTATATCTCAGTCGGAGTGTCTGTTCTGCCCTGCGTGACCACAGGCTACTCAAAAACCAAGTTGGCATTTGTAAGAAAAATAAACGTATCCTCATGCAGTATATTATAGTGAATTTGAGAGGTAGCCCCGACTGGGACTCAAACCAGGTCCAGCGACAGTCAACCCAATAACAACTGTTACACCCAGAGGTCTGAACCTCTTGACGAGGTCGCTTGGTGTTGGCTTAAGGTCGCTACAGTATAGTTGCATCATGCGTCAATACTGTAAGTACTGTATTCTCCAGAGACCAGAGCTATTTTTCCATCTGATCCATAGACGCTGACCAAGCTGCCTGGATGTACAATATAGCAAAATATAGACAGGTGCATGAATTCAATTGATTACGGAATACATTTGAGTCATTTAGCAGACGCTCTTATCCAGAGCAACTTAAAGGAGCAATTAGGGTTAAGTGTCTTGCTCAAGGGCAGATGGACTGATTTTTCAGTCAGCTCTGGGATTTGAACCAGCAACCTCCCAATTATTGGCCCAACACTCTTAACTGCTTGACTACCTGCCTGTTAATGGTTTGGATAGAGGCTCGACACAGAGTTATGACTGGGGACTGAGCAAATGGCCAATAAAGATTAGGATCCCAAAATATTAACCCCAGTTCTTTCGAGCAAACATTTCCTTTTACTCAGTCATTGGTGATAGCAAAATGTTGCAGAACTAACATATTCATTAAAAAAAACATCCTGACCACAAGTAATCTACAAGAACTCGTAGATGTGTTGTATTATATGCAACATAATGACATGTTTAAAGAATACCCCATCATCACAAATTACCCTAAGTAATAATGTCACTTGTGATGGACGGTGGATCAGATTTAACTGCTGTTTGAGCACCCTCAGAAATAAGTCAAACAAACTTCAAGTACTGTACCTCTCTATCCAGGCTACTCAATCCAACCCCTGTTGTATCTAACCTGATTCAGCTTATCAACCAGCTAATTATTAGAATCGGGTGTGCTAGATTAGATTTGGAGCAATGCTCTCCAGGAACAGGGTTGGAGAGAACACCTACAGGATGATAGCGCTCCAGGAACAGGGTTGGAGAGCCCTGCTGTAGACACTAACAAAATGAAAACACAGAACATCAGATGGGTCCCATTTCATTTATTGGGTCAAAAAGAAGAGTGTTAAGGTCATTGATGTTCTCATTAAAAAAAAACAGTACAAATCTCATGTTAACATTGACACATACTAAACAGAGCTTTAAGTACTGTTCTAAGGCTATGTTAAATAGTCAGCATTTCTAGGAATAATAACATATCAGTTCATGGTTTTAACTCCATGATCAGAATATTTAAAAAAAGGTAGTAAAGGCTTGGACAAGACATGGTCAACAAATCTACATTCTAGCCCATCTTTCATCATATCACCAAAACAGTAATATAGCAACAGAAAGCATGCACAGTCAGGACAAGTGCCATCTTTGGATTCCTCTCCTTAGTTAACTGCCACAATGAAGCCTCATTCTAATACAAGTAGTTTAAAAGACCGATTAGGCTACCCTCTCACTCTATGACAGGTTCAGCATGAAGAGGGACATGTTGTCCCAGCTGATAAAGCATACCAATTAATGTATCAGTGTTGTGTACAATAAAAACACTATTAGGCATCAAAAGACAAATTCAACAACCACAGGCCTATGCAACAGCACTCAACTAAACCTTCAACATGCCTTTCTGACCCTTATCACTAACCAACTCAGAAGTCTATTCTCTACTGTGCCCTTCAGAACCGTCATCACACAAACCTCGTCCCCAGACTCAATTGCTACCACATAGAGAGCCGGCTGTGTGGACGAGATTATGATTACACACACAATCATTCACAGTCAACATTATTTATCTTGCTTACCACCTCACCTAGAAGAGCCCTAATCTACATACATCAGCCCATCATTATAGCTGCTGTACTCAACTCTCTGACATGGAACCAGCCATTAAAGATTTTTATTTAAAAGGCATGAGACGTGTAATTACGGCACATATGGTCCAAGAGAAAGAAAAAAAACATGACATATACGTGACAAGACAGCGACAAGACAGGGGATCAATTAATCAGACATGATTAGACAAAGACAAGGATCAAATAGTAACATTATCAACTTGAATTTGGAATAGTGATTAGTGACTAATCAATGGTTTGAATAGTGATTAGTGAACAATCAATGGATTTGATGCAAGCAGGGAGAGGGTAGTAGAGACATATAGCTGTGAAAAATAGTGGAAGCAAACAAATTATAGTGCAATATAGCAATCCATGCAATAAAGTAATCTTTAGAAAGTGCAAAGAAATAAAGACTATACTATATCATTACCATGCAAATAAATAAAGACTATACTATATCATTACCATGCAAAGAAATAAAGACTATACTATATCATTACCATGCAAAGAAATTAAAAAAAACATTTCACCAGGTGTTCCTCATTCCCCTGCACCGGCTCAGACAAAACTAAGGCAATAACCTGAAATAGTCACACTTATGCATTCAATGCCATTCAAACATTAAATTAATGTGTCATTTGTAAAAAACATGGGTAAAATGGGTTCTCCAGTATCAATCTAAATCTAATTCAGTCTGTGCAAACATTCACAAGCTGCTGTCTATGAGTGTGCCTATTCACAGTCATAAATGATCAATTATTTATGCAATGAGCAAAACCACCATTGAAATATACTTCCATAGCGGAGAAGACACGCGAATTCTGAAAAGTCAAAAAATATAAAAAAGGCACCATCACATTGTCAGCTGTTTACTGATAATTCATATGCCAATATTAAAATATCTAAAAACACGTGAAACCACCCAAAACTGAAAAACTTAAATCATCTGAAATCCTTGTCATCAGAGCAGAGATATAAGTACACTCAAACAGTGGGAGAATTGTGAAGTAAACCAGCTAGCTCTGCCATGAAAAGACACCGTCATGTGATCCACAGGTCCCATTCTGGAGGTTAAAGGTCAATCTTCAACCCCGGGGTCCATAACTGGGCTGTCCTCCCCACTGCCAGTCTGTAAAGGTTTCCATGTCCTTTTAACACAGTCAAAGTCCTAAGAGCAAGTCCCACAACCCACCACTCCTCTCAGAACATATAGGATTCTTCACAGAGGAATTGCAGTGTGTCCATTGGGTTTCAACTAAACTATGCCTCAGTCCAACATTAGTATAGAAGTTATTACATAGAATCAACAGGTGAATTAGGGCCACGGACCCACGGGAAGAGCTGCCTCTAGTTTGAATACTTCAGAGCCAGCTAGAGGAGAAAGAAAGTCTCATCATTTTCACATTCTAGCTAATTTCCCCTGAAATAAAAAATATATTTTCTCTTTGATGGGCCACTTGAAGCTGTTCTAGGGCCTGACCAATGTCATCCAATTACATAAACATTTAAGTAGTTAATGACTTGCGTATGATCTCATCAATGAGAGTGTTATGCTGGTATACTTATAATGCCTCCATTCCAAATGAAAAGTTTATTATGAGAATTGATCGCCTTGCAATTACTGTAAAACCTAATGGTCATTCACTCAGCCTAAATTAGGGGGGGGATTTTGGTAGCCCTCTGGCACACTCATTGGGTAGGCATTCTAGACAAGGTCAACTACACAGCATAGTGTGGAATGATACACACTTCATAATAAATGTTAAGCTGCTCATACGTCTCGAGCTTGGCTGGACCAAACTCAGAGGCTGAAATGAAACTTTCGCGCGGAGTGTCAGCGAGCGCGTGCGGTGTGCTAGCGGGTGGAGTGTTAGCGAATGTGCGAGCGAGCGCGGAGTGTTAGCGAATGTGCGAGCGAGCGCGGAGTGTTAGCGAATGTGCGAGCGAGCGCGGAGTGTTAGCGAATGTGCGAGCGAGCGCGGAGTGTTAGCGAATGTGCGAGCGAGCGCGGAGTGTTAGCGAATGTGCGAGCGAGCGCGGAGTGTTAGCGAATGTGCGAGCGAGCGAGCGAGCGCGGAGTGTCAGCGAATGTGCGAGCGAGCTTGGAGTGTTTTTTTTTTTTTTTTTTTTTTGGGGGGGGATGGATCAGCTTAATATTGCAGATAGATTGTATCTTCTATCAATGTAATTGTCTGCATCACTTCCAATCCCCCATGTTTATATATATATATATTCCCCTTTATTACTTTTCAACCCCACCATCCTTTCCCTACTTGGAGTAAATTAGTGAACAACAACGCCCAGGCCTCTACTTCCGGTCTATAATTACTATCTACACCTTATGGACAGAGTTAATTTTACAATAATTCTATATCCATATAAATGGATATATATATATATATATTTATTTATTTTTTTGCTCCTGAACTTCTTCTACTCTCAACCTCTCCGATCATTTTCATGATGTCCATCCGGTTTGCTTCTAAATGCCATATCTTTCTAACTGTGCTCTTTCCCAAAAGCTCCCAACATACAACCTATATACTTATTATGGACACAGTATGCTTACATTATTAGCTATCTTTGTTATTATTTGTTGTTATTTGTTATTAGTCCCATCCTTCAACTCTATTCAATACCTCCCATCTATCTCTTAACACCATCCATATAGGATTTCTATTTGCCATATATATTTCAACCATACTGTGATGTTTTACAAAAGTTCTGAACCTTTCTATTCTCATTGCTTCTACAGATTGTGAATTAAAAATAAACATTTTTGCTAAAAGTATTATTATATTATTGATTGATTGACTATGACTTTTCAGATCACCCAGTAATGCTATCTGCAAGGTTAGTTCCAGGTAAATATTGCAATCCTTTAGCCATTCCTGGACCTGTGTCCAAAAACAAGCTACAAATGGACAGAACCAAAACAAATGATCTAATGATTCTATCTCTTCACAGCAAAATCTGCAGAGCTGGGAAGATTGTATCCCCCATATAAATAACATTCTATTGGTAGCAAGAATTTTATATAATAATTTAAATTGAAAGATTCTAATTTTTGAATCCGGTGTCGTTTTGCGTGTCAGTTCATAAACACTATGCCATGGGATTGGTACGTCAAAGATCTCTTCCCAACTATTTTGCAATCTATATGGGACGGCTGTCAATCCTTTGGTCCTTAAGTGAAACTGATATACTTTTTTATTTATCACAGTTTTCCTTAACCAATTATGTTCTTTAATGCAAGGCCGACAGACAAGTTCCTTACTTTCTCCCCCTTCAACTTTCCTCTTCCACTTTTGCGGTAAGGCTGCAATTATTTGGTTGTAATTTTGGGTAGAGCAGACATTTCCATATGTTTTAGTTAGCTGCATGTGCGACATAACTCCACCAGTCCTACCGATGATATCATTTACGAAGATTATACCTTTTTTAAACATTCTGTCAAAAAATAAAGGTTTTTTGTCAATTAGTATATTTGAATTTAACCACAATATTTGTTGCATTATTTGTTCTGTCGTTTCTGGAGGATTAAATTGAAATTGCAACCAACTTTCTATGGCTTGTTTTAGAAATAGTGACATTTGGGAGATTATTTCCTTTTCAAATAACTGAAAGTGAGAGATTGTAATCTGAATAAAGGGAAAAAGGCCTTTCTTGAACAGTGGGTGAGACAATCTTACTAATTTGCTTGAGAACCAGTTCGGATTTAAGTATAACTTTTGGATGACTGAAGATTTTAGTGATAGGTCTAATGCTTTAATATTTAATAATTTCTGTCCTCCGAATTCATATTCATTATATAAATATGCTCTTTTAATTTTGTCTGGCTTGCCGTTCCAAATAAAATTGAATATTTTTTTCTCATATATTTTAAAAAACTGTTTGCTAGGCGTAGGCAAGACCATAAGCAAATAGGTAAACTGGGATAATACTAAAGAGTTAATCAGGGTGATTTTTCCACAAATTGACAGGTATTTTCCTTTCCATGGTAGTAAGATCTTATCTATTTTTGCTAACTTTCTATTAAAATGTATTGAAGTGAGATCATTTATTTCCTTTGGGATATGTATTCCGAGTATATCCACATCACCATCAGACCATTTTATTGGTAAACTACATGGTAATGTAAAAATTGTATTTTTTAGTGATCCAATACGTAATATAGTACATTTGTCATAATTTGGTTTTAATCCAGAGAGGTTAGAAAATGTATCTAGATCCTCTATGAGGCTGTGGAGGGATTCTAGTTGTGGATCTAAAAGAAAACATGAATCATCTGCGTACAATGACACCTTTGTTTTTAAGCCCTGTATTTCTAATCCCCTGATATTATTATTGGATCTGATTTTAATAGCTAACATCTCGATGGCCACAATAAATAGATATGCCGATAGTGGACAACCTTGTTTCACTCCTCTTGATAGTTTAAAACTTTCTGAGAAATAGCCATTATTTACTATTTTACACCTAGGGTTACTATACATGATTTTGACCCATTTTATAAGAGATTCTCCAAAATTGAAATGCTCCAGGCATTTATATATAAATTCCAGTCGAACTTTATCAAATGCCTTTTCGAAGTCTGCTATGAATAGCAGGCCTGGTTTCCCATATTTTCCATAGTGTTCTATTGTTTCCAATACTTGCCTTATATTATCTCCAATGTATCTTCCATGTAAAAAACCTGTCTGATTAGAATGAATAATATCCGACAATACCTTTTTAATTCTATGCGCTATACATTTTGCTAGGATTTTTGCATCACAACACTGAAGTGTAAGTGGCCTCCAATTTTGTAAATGGACTGGATCTTTATATTTTCCACTTGTATCCTGTTTCAGTAATAATGAGATCAGACCTTCTTCTTGAGTGTCAGATAATCTACCATTTACATAGGAGTGGTTAAAACATGCTAATAACGGTCCTCTTAGTATATCAAAAAAGGTTTGGTATACCTCGATTTTCCCCGACTTAAAGTCTTTAATTGCATCCAGAAGTTCCTCCTCTGTAATTTCACCTTCACATGAGTCTTTCTGTGTGGCTGTTAATTTGACATTATCAATAGAAAAAAAATCTCTACAATTAGCTTCAGTTAGAGGAGATGGAGGCGACTGAAAAGAAAACATATGCTTAAAATACTTTGTTTCTTCCTTCAAAATATCATTAGGTGAATTATGGGTGACTCCGTCAATTGTAACTAGTTTCATTAAGTTCTTTTTGGTAGCATTCCTATGTTGAAGATTAAAAAAGAATTTTGTGCATTTTTCCCCATATTCCATCCAGTTTGCTTTATTTTTATAATATATTACACTTGATCTTTCTTGAATAAGTTTTTCCATTTCTTTTTGTTTTTCCTCTAATTTATTCTGAGCCTCTATGTTACAGTTTTTATTGCCATCTATCTGTTCTGTTAGACTTTCTATTTCCTTTCTTAGTATAAACTCTTTTGACCTAAATTGCTTTTGTTTTCGAGATGAGTACTGAATTGCATGGCCTCTAAAGGCACATTTAAAGGTGTCCCATACAATAAGGGGATTCGCTGTACCTATGTTATGTTGGAAAAAGTCAGTTATAAATTCCTTTGTTCTAATTATAAATAAATTATCATCTAATAGGCTTTGATTAAATTTCCAATATCCTCGCCCACGTGGAAATTCAGTCAGAGTAATGTATATGCCTATTATATGATGGTCCGACCGCATTCTGTCCCCTATCAACACTTTTTTTTACTTTTGGTGCCAACGAGAATGAGATAAGAAAGAAGTCAAGACGACTAGCTTGATTCAGTCTCCGCCATGTATATCTCACTAGATCAGCATATTTAAGCCTCCATATATCTACTAGTTCTAATGTATCCATGACATTCACAATTTCCTTAAGAGCATGTGGGTGATTGTTTGTGGTGTGATTTCCTTTTCGGTCCATTGAGCTATTTAAAACAGTATTATAATCCCCCACCATAATAATATTGTCTTGAGTTGCTTGCAGGCTTGATAATGTATTATATATATTGTCAAAGAATTGTGGATCATCATTATTTGGTCCGTAAAGGTTAATGAGCCATATCTGTTTATGGTCCAATACCATATTTAAAATAATCCATCTACCTTGCGTATCTATTTGGACAATTTGCACATTTGGATCGAAATTACTATTAATTAATATCATCACCCCTTTTGAATTTCTTTGCCCATGGGAGAAATATATTTCCCCCCCCCATTCTTTTTTCCACGCTACTTCATCTCGAATTGTTGAATGAGTTTCCTGTATACAATAGATATTATATTCCTTCTCTTTGAGCCATGTAAATATTGTTCTTCTTTTGTTATTATCAGCTAAGCCATTACAATTATAACTGGCTATACTTATTTCACCATACACCATAATGAGATACAAGTTTCAAGTCTATTTATCATTATATATATGTTTGTAAATTTATCAATAAAAAATAGCGTAATGATTGAGTGTCCATATAGCTGTACCGTGATATTTGCATTGCTACGGAGTAACCCTTCAATTGTTCTCCACTAATTCCCCCGCTAAAGCCCCTCCCCATCCCAAGTTGAGCCGTCATCCCAGTGATCAGCATCCCACCCACGTCCCTCCGTATCCCTAAGGCCCCGAGTGTTAGCGAATGTGCGAGCGAGCGCGGAGTGTTAGCGAATGTGCGAGCGAGCGCGGAGTGTCAGCGAATGTGCGAGCGAGCGCGGAGTGTCAGCGAATGTGCGAGCGAGCGCGGAGTGTCAGCGAATGTGCGAGCGAGCGCGGAGTGTCAGCGAATGTGCGAGCGAGCGCGGAGTGTCAGCGAATGTGCGAGCGAGCGCGGAGTGTCAGCGAATGTGCGAGCGAGCGCGGAGTGTCAGCGAATGTGCGAGCGAGCGCGGAGTGTCAGCGAATGTGCGAGCGAGCGCGGAGTGTCAGCGAATGTGCGAGCGTGTTAGCGTGTGTTTTTTTTGCATGTGGTGTGTTAGCGTGTGGTGTGGTAGCGTGTGGTGTGGTAGCGTGTGGTGTGGTGTGGTAGCGTGTGGTGTGGTGTGGTAGCGTGTGGTGTGGTGTGTTAGCGTGTGGTGTGTTAGCGTGTGGTGTGGTGTGTTAGCGTGTGGTGTGGTGTGTTAGCGTGTGCGTGTATACTATTTACATTCAACCGTGACATGTCTCACCTTGTGAGCAGTGTCTGCAAACTGCTGGGCTTTGTGCATCAGGTCCACCGTCTTGTCCTCGGCCCGGCCCAGTCTTTCCCCACGCTCCTGCAGGGCCTGGCTTGCCCTCTTGACTACACTACCCAAACTGCCCCTTGGGGGGCGCTGCCCACTGGGACTTGCTCTGGGACCTGCTGCACAACACAGACAGAGAGTAGTACTGTACATGACAACACACAGAGAGTAGTACTGTACATGACAACACACAGAGAGTAGTACTGTACATGAAAACACACAGAGTAGTACTGTACATGACAACACACAGAGAGTAGTACTGTACATGACAACACACAGAGAGTAGTACTGTACATGAAAACACACAGAGAGTAGTACTGTACATGACAACACACAGAGAGTAGTACTGTACATGACAACACACAGAGAGTAGTACTGTACATGACAACACACAGAGAGTAGTACTGTACATGACAACACACAGAGAGTAGTACTGTACATGACAACACACAGAGAGTAGTACTGTACATGACAACACACAGAGAGTAGTACATCAGAGATGGGATACCCAGATGAGATACCCAACAGGCATAACATTTTGTTACAACATCCAAGAGCCAGAATCAGAATGTCGAGCTAGCCATCTTGGCTTTCTTTTATTCTAAACTAATGTTTGTCGAGAGAGGTAAAAATTGCCTGTGGTGGGGGGGGGGCTATTTCATACCGCCTGGAGTGGTCAGCTTAGGAGAGAGACTGCCCAACATTTGCTGTTGCGCCGCGTCTCTACGCCCTGCTACTGCCTGGCACCTCTCCCTGTGCCACAAACACACACGAATGGGGAGCCGCGTTTCTTCTCACAGGGCCAGCCTTTGTTTTTTAGCAGGAGGTTTGGACACAAAGTCGCCACTCATCTAGCCGCAACCTCATAGAAGAGCCATTCTCTACTGTAGCAGAGAGAGGTGTTACAGAGGACAATAGACAAAACCATCAATCGCCTGAGAGAGGATTAGGAATCCATGAGAATATAAAGGATACAACCATAGGCCTACCACTAAGGCTATGTCCTTATACAACTTTGTCATTTCTGCAAAGACTGTGTTGCTACCCAATGACAGAGAATTATTGGTTATTTGGGAGGGGGGGGTGGTTACTCCCTTACCTCCAGCCAGAGGACTGCTTTGTTTTGAAACCATCACCTTCTTCATGTGGTTGAAGAAGACCTTGCAACGGTAGATGACCAGATTCACAGTGCAGGCATCTGTTAGAATGACAGCAATGAGACTGATAAAAGCTGTATCATACCCATGATGAATAGGTAAAATAGACAGCACAGAATCAAACATGAAATTGGAGTCCCTGCCATATCATGAGAGGTGAGAGGATAAGCCACTCCTATGGTTGAAGTGGTACCAGAATAATGCCCACTGACAGCTGGTCCAAATTCGCTCCCTAACATTTCCCTAGCCCTAACACTTCCCCTAGGCTATAGCACGTCGATCTGCAAACATGGACGGGTTAGGACCAAGGGGAAGGGAGTGAATTGGGACGGACTGTGCTTCTCCTTCAACAACCCCTTACCTCCTGTGAGTTTGGACTGACAGTTGACAAATTCAGTCTGGCGGGGCCTGGGACCCACTGTGCTCTTCCGTCTAGCCTGGGCCCCTGGACCTCCTCTTTGGCCCCCTTGGGCCCCTGGGCTAACCTGGCCCCCTGGACTAGCTCTCTGGTCCTTCTGCTGGTCTCCAGCTGGGCTAGCCGGGCCACCAGGGACCCCTACCTTGCCCTCCCAGTAAGTCTGACAGGCGTGGTACATGATCTGGATGAAGATGCACTTCTCTGCCGCTGAGCTGGCCACCCATTGGTCAAAGGCGTTGTCAAACACCAGGTCAAACTCTGGGCAGTCCTGTGGGCGATCCAGAAGGGTATACAGATGAGGGATACAATAGAGAGGTCATAAGACGGTAGAGGAGAATAGCGGACCAAACCAACCGACCAGAAACACAGGTCAGAATCCTGGTGCTCCAATCCCAATACAACCCTTTACCCATCAAGACTTGATTGGCTATACTAGGGTCTGATTTTCATCCATTCTGCTTTGGGACAACACTGAACATGGCAGAAGCGCATGTGAATATGCAAATTAACAGGGAGAGTGGCTAAGGAAAGAGGAATGAAATGGATGGGTCTGGGATACAGGGCTTCCAACAGAGAGTGTAGGCAGTACAGGCTAAGATCTATAGAATTAAATTTAAAAAACACTACACAGAATATCACATCTATACTAGCTCTATGATGATGTCACCTTGTTGGGGTCGATGCCATCGACCTGGCGGAGCTGCTCCACGCTCCACTGTGACCTCCTTGTGAAGGGGGCGGAGCCTCCAAACCGCTTGACCTTGGTGATGAGGAGCTGAGCTGGCCTCTTATTGGTCACTGGGGGGATTAGGAGGGGTCATGGGTTAGAAATATGAAAGTAAGCACACTTCATAAAACCCCAAAATGTAGAAGTAAATCTACTCAGTACTACAATGAAGACAGGATATAAAGAAGAGATTCAGGATTCACTTTCCACTACTAAATGTGTGTTTCATTTTTATCAAACATTGGACATACACACACGGGACCAGTCACCATCACAGATCAACAAACAGACCGCCAATGCCCATTCTTCTTCAGTGGTTTCTCTTGTACACACAATATGAGGATTTGTAAATGGGGGGAGACTGGCAGTGCCAGCTGAGGACACTAGTCACTCATCCGTCAGTGGTGTAATTGGGACGGGGTGAAGAGTCCCTCAAGGGACACTGGGGCAGTGAATGCCCATGGCTCTGGGTGACTTCATCACAGTAACAATAGCTACTATGGATGTAGTGAGTGACATTGAACATCTAAATAACACGCAAGTGATCCTTCCTGCTCAGTTATAGGATCCATGTCCTCTGACAATGTCAGACTCAGTGGTATTAGATAGCCAGCAGCACAATGTCCTGATTGCAACATGATGAATAGCTGTGCATCCTTCCATTCAGATAATTCCACCATGAGATGGTTAAACAATGCAGCCTTTTAATCCTGAACAATATCATTTATACAGCAGAGCAACAAGTCTTTTTGTGGACTTAAAATTCAAGTCACACTGGTTCCAGCTGAAAGAAATCTGTTACAGTAGCCTACCTGACAGACAGATGTATGTTATATATCCTGCCTTGCCTCCAGTGGGCAGAAAGGAAAGTCTTTTCTTCGGTCTCCTCTTAACCTCCACAGCCACTAGTATCCTCTCATCCCGGGGGGCAAACACCTCCCTGTTGATAGCTGACTGGATATTCATAGTGGATCTGGATGCCAGATAGGTAATGGACAAAAAAGAAGGACAGATTGATGGGGGAAAATATTGAGTATTTTACTCGTGAGTCATATGCTTAGTGTATTGTATTCCAAATGAATGACACCTTGACTCAGAGTGATCACCATAGGTGAAAGATTGGTTAAATCACATTATCTGGTGTAACAAATATTTTTGGTATTCCATTACTGGTTGTTACAGGATAGGTAATGTTTAGTGTAGCGCAGATACTTTTCTAGACAGGTGGGTGTCCACCCCAAAGTGCCGCAAGTCATGATGATAGCCACCTGTCTCGATCAATGAGAGATGACTTGAAATAGACAAGCTGGCGGCGTACACATTGTTGGATTTCTTCATGGAGCAAATTCAAACGGACCCACTGCAACTGGACACTTTATGAGACCCCAGTTTCTACAAATCAAGGACGAAGACAGTATCGCCAAGGTTGGTCGAAAATTCTCAGTGTTACACCAAACAGTACCTATCCTGTAACTCCCAGTAATGGATACCAAATCTCTTTGGTTAAATCACATTATCTGGTGTAACAATCTGTATTGTAGTTAGTGAAAGGGAAACTTCACACCTGTAAGAGTGGGGGATAAATTCATTTGAATCAGCTTAATGCGTCATGGGTACTCTTTATTCGATTACATTTGATTAAATTAATCATAAAAATCCCCAAATGCTTTATCGATTATTCTTTAGCATCCCTCGACAGACAACTAAGAGAGAAGAAAGTAAGTATCGTTTACAATACCTGTTTTGTTGTTTTACTCCACCAAGACGCAGAACTAGCTAGTCTGATTACCGAACGACTCCACTGCCTTTTATAACTGTCAGGCTGCCCCCTCTAATCAACCGCGTCAAGGTTTAGAATCCGAGTTAAATTTCGGGTCTAGAGTCACACAACAACCGCGTGGCTTGCGGAGAAGGCGTATCTATCTGGAGACATCCCATTTCAACAAGTTAGAAGTCACGTGGGAGAATTGATTTATTGGGTTGAAACTCATACAATAAATAATTTTAATCTTGGTTTACCATAATTCTTTGTAGGCTTATTCTTTGCAGGTTGCTCTCTCAAAGTCATACTTTAAAGCGGCAATCAGCAGTAGAAACAATGACCATTGCACCCCACCCCTGGTTTGGTAAAAAGCTGAGGGATTGGACTGGGTAAATGTATTCACTCTCCAATGCATAGACAGAGCTATGGATGTAAGGATCCATGATATCAAAATTATAGTTTTAACCATGTTTTGAGGCTATATAGTGTTTGTTTTTACATTTTTTGTTTACAAACAATGAAGTAAAACAAGTTTATATTTGGGGTTCTGATAGGGTACGACAGCTGAATCAGTGGGTACATATCATTAATTTATAAGTCAAAATATGGATGTAGCAACAGCTGATTGCCCCTTTAAAAACTTGAATTTGCCATGACACTATATCCAAAGCTCACTTATATGGCTCGACTTTATTTTTTCAAAAGTAGGCCTAATGTTGAATGAACTGAGACCACAGACAGACAGCTGTAGAGATCTATTTTAATGTAAAACAAAAGGTTTACCAAGGTTAAGCACCACGTTATTAATTTGAAGAGGGAACGAAACACAGGTTAAAATTGGTTTCCACTAGTTACCACATCCACAAAGTCAATATTGGCTATCGTAAAGATTCATGAAAACAAACAAAAATGAGCTTTTTGGTCTTCATTTAAGGTTAGAGTTGGGCATAAGGTTAGCAGTGTGGTTAGGGTTAGGTTTTAAATCACATTTTAAGAAGATACATTTCAGAATTAGGCGGGGTTTATGACTTTGTGGCTGTGGTAACTAGTGACGACCGTTAAAAATAGTGAGTAATGAGTGGATTGGACAGTGAGTGGAGAGGAGACATGACATAAAAATAGTGTCCTCTGGTGGAAGGCAAAAGGGAATACAGCTGAAGGGTGGACGACCCACAACTGAAGGGTGGACGACCCACAACATAATCACAATTCAATTTCCTTAGCACAGGAGGTTGATGGCACCTTAATTGGGGAGGACGGGCTCGTGGTAATGGCTGGAGCGGAATTGATGGAATGGTATCAAATGGTTTCCATGTGTTTATGCCATTCTATTTGCTCTGTTCAAGCCATGATTATTACGTAATGAAATTACGTTGAACCAACGTGGAATAGACGTTGAATTGACGTCTGTGCCCAGTGGGATGACATGTAAACAAGGATATGCAGAACCAAGGAGAGAACCATGGGTAAGAGGCCTTTCACACTACTTAGCCAAACTAAGCTGAGTTGTACTGGCCTGGTCTGGTTAGGTATCCACCATAGTTGTTAGAACCATGCTAGAAAGGACAATGTGAAAATAAAATATCTGTGCCAGCACAGTTTAGTTTAGGTCGGCCCTATAGTGGGAATCAGGTGTTAGAGCCAAGGCATTGGGATGATAGAGTAGCATACCTAGGAATCTGACAGTCTGACCTAACAAGGGAGGCTTTCAAACACATCTGAGGAGAAATTAAATAGCTAACATTCACAAGGAAGTAAAAAGTCATCCTAACTCATACTGTGTAAAAACAACTCTGCTGTGTTTACACAGATCATATAAAAAAAATCCTGATGGCAAGCTTGATTTTGGCAGAGAGATCCGATGTAAGTGATGTCATTTGATGTTAGTGTAATTCATTTGCTAAAAGCCTTTAACAAATCATGAAGTAACCCCCCCAAATGAGCCTGCATGCTACGATCCCTCACTAACAGCAAGACAATCCTAAGCAAAGCATATTCCTCCCTATTTAGGTACATACTGCATGCTTCATTTTCATTTTAACCAGTGTCGTTATTGAGTCTAATAATGTATTAGAAATAGAAGTATAGTGTATTATCCAGTCCTCTCCACTGCAACTCTCTTTAGTTACTTGGATGTAAATGAAACATTTTGCATGGGTCCTTCATGCCTTGTTTTACTGATATGTTGTCTCTCTTGTTTGTTGCCTGACCTAGAAAGCAGAAAGTTACTGCATTATGTGCAACATGTCAGTGTTAGTAGTACAAACACATATAGTAGTGCTCTGCTCTATCAAGCTATCAATTCACAGTAGAACAAAACAATTATGTGGTCTTCCAATGGGTGGATCAGCCAAGAGACCGAACCTGCCATTAAGTTATGAAATATAAACAAAAACGGTATTTGGCAACTTTGTTAAAGTTGTGTACTCAACATTAGCATCTGTCCACCATCCCTTATAGGAACCTTCAGTTAGTCAGTTAGTGTAAACATGGTACCACCACATGTTCTAATCTGGTGCCTCCAGACATCAGCATAGCAGTACAGTTAGTCTATAGGGCTGCATTCTATTTAGTCTACCATATGCTCCAGTCCAATGTCGTCATCAATAAAGGGGCTTTAAGCCTAGCCTGGTCAAACTATCCTGAACGGACAATCAACCCTTCCGTAACAATCCACTTTGATCGACCTGACGGGTTGAAATCAAATGATGAAATCAAATGGGTTTCAATGTTCTAAGGGATGCATTTGGATGTAACTCTCTCAACAGGCTAAACATCTGAATGAGTGTTGATGCTGGGAGTTGTGAGAGGAGGTTAGGCTTGAGGCATGGCTACAGTTTCATGAGTCATACAGAACCAGTCAAAGCTGTGTCCGACACCAACACAGTCGCTGCTGAGTCCAAGATAATGAACATTGACAGATGCTTGGTCCTAGAGTCATCATTTAGTCGCAGGAAAGAGGAACAGTCTTCGTGTGTGCCTGGGCGGTAGTCTTCAATAAACCCACAGGGTGGGTATATGAGGAACAGTCACTATTAGGACCATAGGGTAAAGGGAACAGTCTCTGAGGAGATGAACACAGGCTTACCACAGGTTGACCGCAGGCTGTGAAGTGGTCTCTGATACACAGTTATGTCTCATCGGTCTGGTCGCAAGATCTGTGTGTACACTGGGAGACTATTATATGTGTTGAGGGAGAGGGGAAAAGAGTGTGTGTGTCTCTCTGTGTGTGTGTGTGTGTGTGTGTGTCTCTCTCTCTCTGTGTCTGTGTCTGTGTGTGTGTGTGTGTGTGTGTGTTGGCTGTGGGTTAGGATAACTCTGGGTTATCCTCAGAGAGCTGAGTGGGATACTCCTGTCTATACATGAAGGTGAGAAGAAACAGTGCCACGTCGTGTGAACACCAATAGGCTGTGTGCGAGGTCACCGCCGACCAATAGCGGCTCTCCACCATGCCTTCTCGCAGCTCAAAGTCAATGCGCCTCTCCAACTCCACTGTAACACAAAGAAAGACAGAGTTAAAACAAACACACCCACAAACCCTTTTAATACTAGCCATAGACACCATAACAAAACACAACTAGAACAGGCAATAGGGAAACCTCTGTCAAAAGGGCATAGTGCATAGTAAAGTTCACTGCTGCTTTCCGATAACAATATGAGGGAGCAGACCTGGGTTTTTCAAATACTTTATATACTAACGCTTTATTTAGCTGGCCTAGCATGAGTTTGCACTTATGATACATGTTTGGTTATACTACAGGGCACAGTTTCTAGATTTCTTCATTTCAAGGAGGTTTTCCTGGCTACTGTCCTCTGACTTCTGCCTTTGCTTGGTTCTAGGGCCGGGTTACTGTAAAAGCACTTTGTGACAACTGCAGTAATAAGGGTTTTACACATACATTTGATTGGTTAATTGGTTGAATGATTGGTTGATTGATTACGCCTGACAAACTAAATCAAGCACACCTCAAGTATTTAGTATTTGCAATACATATTTGATCCAGGTCTGTGGGGGAAGCACTAGGGTAAGTGCTTCAGTTAAATAGATCCGTCATGCACTGCATCGCAGTGCTTGAGGAGTCACTACAGACCCGGGTTCGATCCCGGGCTGTGTCGCAGCCGGCCGCGACCGGGAGACCCATGAGGCGGTGCACAATTGGCCCAGCATCGTCCGGGTTAGGGGAGGGTTTGGCCGGCCGGGATGTCCTTGTCCCATCGCGCTCTAGCGACTCCTTGTGGCGGGCTGGGGCATTCACGCTCACTTCGGTCACCGTGTTTCCTCCGACACATTGGTGCGGCTGGCTTCCGGGGTAAGCGAGCAGTGTGTCAAAGAAGCGGTGCGGCTTGGCAGGGTCGTGTTTCGGAGGACGCATGGCTCTCGACCTTCGACACTCCCAAGTCGGTACAGCGATGGGACAAGACTGTAACTACCAATTGGATATCACGAAATTGGGGAGAAAAAGGGGTAAAAAGTTAAAGAATATATATTTAAAAAATATATTTGATCCGTCATCGACAGGGATGGAATTTACTGAAAGAGATTCTCTGGTACTTTTATATACTTTTTAGCCAGTAGTTCTGAAAGTAGGACTTACGAGCCAAAAATGGTCCACGTAAATTGTGTATTACATCACATACAGTATGTGCAAATATGTGTACCACGTCATTGCTCTCTCTTGCTCTGTTGTGTGGTCATCTTGCTAGTTGTCACTCAAATGGCGAGTACCAGAAGCTCATTGGCTAAAACTCGAATTGCTAGGGGGCTGGCCCACGTCTGAACTAAACATTGACACATCCAGCCCAAAGCAGGATGTTTAAAAAATACTTAGTAGTCGCCAAAGTTCTGGAGTATGTCTTTAAGGACTTTGGGCACTGGCCAGCTGGGCTAGACTGACATTTTTACCCGGGTCCAAAATCTATGCCCTGCGATAATTGAAAATAAAAAATGTCACTAACCGGTGGGCTAGTTGGACACATTTTCTACTAGCCCGGTCTGAAAAGTACTAGCCATGGGCTAGCTTCATTTCCATCCCTGATACGTACATGTGGTGTTTTCCAGGATAGCCGAGGTGGACCGAGACATGGAGGGCTCTATTTCCCTTGTCTCCTCTACTACAGGTAACTTCTCTAACTCCATAGCCACGCCCTCCTCTCCTGATACGGCATTATCCATCTCCAAGACCCCACTCTCCGAATCAGAAGGCTCCTCCTCCACGCTGCCCACCTGACCACTTGAGCGTGAGAAGCGGGAGAAGAAGATCCCACCAATGCCTTTCCCGAGACTGGCCGCACCTGCCGAGATGGAGAACACAGTGAAACTCAAAGATGGACAGACACAGACACACACACATACAAACACACATGGCACATCACAGCACAGCACAGCACAGGACATATCAATCAAGTAACGTCTCCTCACAGATATAGGCAGGAAAACACAATAACATTCATACTGTACATAGCACACCCATGAATTTACAAATCATTGCCTTAGACTTGGTCCTATACTGAAAAGTGTTCTTTAAAAAATAACATCTAATCATGAATAAAGGAAATATATAAATCAGAAGTCCTATAGTGTCAATCCCTGTGACGAGACTTAATTGCTCTCCATTGATTTGTTGAGGCTGTGTTTTCTGGGCATTGATTTTGTGCTTGGCTTGCTGTTACATCAGCTATGCAAGCTACTTCTGTTTCAGCGAGATCAAATGAGATCTTTCCACAAAATTAAATATATACAAAAGTATGTGGACACCTGCTCGTCCAATATCTCATTCCCAAATCATGGGCATTAATATGGAGTTGGTTCCCCCCTTTGCTGCTATAACAGCCTCCACTCTTCTAGGAAGGATTTCCACTAGATGTTGGAAAATTGCTGTGGGGACTTGCTTCCATTCAGCCACAAGAGCATTAGTGAGGTCGGGCACTGATGTTGGGCGATTAGGCCTGGCTCGCAGTCGGCGTTCCAATTCATCCCAAAGGTGTTCGATGGGGTTGAGGTCAGAGCTCTGTGCAGGCCAGTCAAGTTCTTCCACACCGATCTCCACAAACCATTTCTGTATGGACCTCGCTTTGTGCACGGGGGCATTGTCATGCTGAAACAGGAAAGGGCCTTTCCCAAACTGTTGCCACATAGTTGGACGCACAGAAATGGTCTGGCATCTGCCAAACCCAGATTTGTCCGTCGCACTGCCAGATGGTGAAGCGTGATTCATCACTCCAGAGAATGCGTTTCCACTGCTCCAGAGTCCAATGGCGGCAAACTTTACACCACTCCAGCTGACGCTTGGCATTGCACATGGTGATCTTAGGCTTGTGTGCGGCTGCTCGGCCATGGAAACTCATTTCATGAAGCTCCAGACGAACAGTTATTGTGCTGACATTGCTTCCAGAGGCAGTTTGGAACTCGGTAGGACAGACGACTTTTACGCGCTTCAGCACTCGGTGGTCCTGTTCTGTGAGCTTGTGTGGTCTACCACTTCGCGGCTGAGCCTTTGTTGCTGCTAGACGTTTCCACTTCACAATGACAGCACTTACAGTTGACCGGGGCAGCTCTAGCAGGGCAGAAATGTGACAAACTGACTTGTTGGAAAGGTGGCATCCTATGACGGTGCCACGTTGAAAGTCACTGAGCTATTCAGTACGGGCCATTCTACTGCCAGTGTTTGTCCATGGAGATTGCATGACTGTGTGCTCGATTTTATACACCTGTCAGCAACGGGTGTGGCTGAAATAGACGAATCTACTCATTTGAAGGGGTGTCCACATACTCTTGGCCATGTAGTGTATGTGGGTGGGTCTGTTCTTGCCGAACAGCCCACTCTCTCCACTATGACCTAACGGCCCACTCTCTCCACTATGACCTAACGGCCCACTCTCTCCACTATGACCTAACGGCCCACTCTCTCCACTATGACCTAACGGCCCACTCTCTCCACTATGACCTAACGGCCCACTCTCTCCACTATGACCTAACGGGCCACTCTCTCCACTAGGACCTAACGGCCCACTCTCTCCACTAGGACCTAACGGCCCACTCTCTCCACTAGGACCTAACGGCCCACTCTCTCCACTATGACCTAACGGCCCACTCTCTCCACTATGACCTAACGGCCCACTCTCTCCACTAGGACCTAACGGCCCACTCTCTCCACTAGGACCTAACGGCCCACTCTCTCCACTAGGACCTAACGGCCCACTCTCTCCACTAGGACCTAACGGCCCACTCTCTCCACTAGGACCTAACGGCCCACTCTCTCCACTAGGACCTAACGGCCCACTCTCTCCACTAGGACCTAACGGCCCACTCTCTCCACTATGACCTAACGGCCCACTCTCTCCACTATGACCTAACGGCCCACTCTCTCCACTAGGACCTAACGGCCCACTCTCTCCACTAGGACCTAACGGCCCACTCTCTCCACTAGGACCTAACGGCCCACTCTCTCCACTATGACCTAACGGCCCACTCTCTCCACTATGACCTAACGGCCCACTCTCTCCACTATGACCTAACGGCCCACTCTCTCCACTATGACCTAACGGCCCACTCTCTCCACTATGACCTAACGGCCCACTCTCTCCACTATGACCTAACGGCCCACTCTCTCCACTAGGACCTAACGGCCCACTCTCTCCACTATGACCTAACGGCCCACTCTCTCCACTAGGACCTAACGGCCCACTCTCTCCACTATGACCTAACGGCCCACTCTCTCCACTAGGACCTAACGGCCCACTCTCTCCACTAGGACCTAACGGCCCACTCTCTCCACTAGGACCTAACGGCCCACTGTCTCCACTAGGACCTAACGGCCCACTCTCTCCACTAGGACCTAACGGCCCACTCTCTCCACTATGACCTAACGGCCCACTCTCTCCACTATGACCTAACGGCCCACTCTCTCCACTAGGACCTAACGGCCCACTCTCTCCACTAGGACCTAACGGCCCACTCTCTCCACTAGGACCTAACGGCCCACTCTCTCCATTAGGACCACTAGGCGATTTCAGGAAAGTCCAAAATAAAAAAACATCTATAAGATAAAAAAGAAAGAATCCACCACAGAAAGTCCCTATGTCTCTCCCTTCCCCTCACTCCCTCCCTCTCTCACCCATAATGCTGGCTTTCCCCAGGTTTGTGATGGACTCTCCGTAGTGTCTTCGGGCCTGAGGGGGGGAGGTACAGGGGCTGGGGAGGCTCTCTGTGTCCGAGATGGATGCTCTCTCCTTCAGTGCAGGGTTGAGCAGCGTGGGACGGATCTGGTCGTACGGTGTCGGACTACATGTGTTATACCTGTACAACCCAGTCACAATATATACGTCATTCACAAACATGCAAATTCCTGATTCGTACAACACTGCTCCAGGGGCGCTGCTCTTCCGCGGAATCTTTGCTGTTCCCAATCTCTCTCTGTGTCTGTGTCTGTGTCTGTGTGTGTGTGTACTGACTGTGAAGTAATATATTCAAAATAACATACTCAATCCACTACTCACCAGTGTATTTGGACAGGTGAAATGTTACTGTAGTTCTTTAAGATCAGGGGCTCCAATCGGTAGGCCTGAAAATACAGCCATAGGCATCATTAAGCACATCCATCATGCCATCAGCAATCTCCATACTGGAACCCAGAACCAGATCTTGCCTGCACTAGCTAGCCGCTTGATGTGATTCTGGAGGCGGAAACGGCAGGTAAGTGTCAACCCCTCCCAAAGCCTCTACCAAAGCCCTTCCCCTTTCACCTTCCAATCTTTTATAGGTATACTACAGTATACCATCAGTGACTGACTGCATGACTGAATGACTCTACTGTCTGGATTTGGTTGGTTGGCTCACCACAGGGTCAGTAGGATGAAAGACATTGAAGAGACGTTGACAGATGGATTTGGGTAAGATGTGATCCTGGGTCACGTTGTTCCCCGGTCGGATCCCTCGCAACGCCAAGAACACGGCCAGGGGAGAACCCATGCAGAAAAAGTTCTCCACCTAGAAGCAAATAAACGGCACAGAGAACATCAGAGGAGAACAAAGGGTTAATTCCCAGCTCAATATGTCTGTCACAACAATCAGAAGGAATGGAATATTGAATGTCGACGTCACCTTAAATTTCAAGGCTGAAGAAGAGCCTTCAGATGATGGGGATTGCAACCCAGCAAACTGATTTTCCAAATCTCGTAACCTATAGACATGAATGTAACACAACATTATCACACAACTATAAATGAAACATAAACATTCAACACTGGGGACAAATTACAGTGGGCGACTGGGTGACCACTGGGTCGTGTTCATCCGTTTGGTGCTTAATGAATATGACGCTGGCTAGTGAGTGTCTACCTACCTGAGTCGTGTGAATCTCATCTCTTCTTGTAGTTGACGCTCCTGGTAGCTTGGCCAGCGCTCTTGCATCTCCTCTGGGTCGGCCCATAGTTCTTCATGACGGAAGCGTACCGGGTCCCAGCCTGTCATGATGTCGAAGGTGATGACACAACCCAGGGAGTGGGACACGATGGACACCTTGCCACTCTCCCCAAACTCAGGGTTCCGCATGCAGAAGAGACTGTAGAGACGATTCAGCTCCTGAGTTAGACCCTTAGTGATCTACAGAGACAAACAGTATGACAAATTAGATTGTACAATGCAACACATGATATGTTTGTGTGTGTGTTAAAATATGCATTGGACATATGCGCGCGCGTGTGAAAGTGGACACAGACATATGGAATGTGAAAGTGGACAGTATCATATGTTTACTGTACATGTCTATACTCACAGTGACCAGTGGGGCCCTATAGTTGTCTACAGCTGACAGACATTGCATACTATAGATTGGGGGGGTGGGGGGGAGGAGAGAGAGAGAGAGAGAGAGAGAGAGAGAGAGAGAGAGAGAGAGAGATAGAGCGAGAGAGAGAGAGAAGAGAGAGAAGAAGAGCGATCGCTCTCTATCTCTCCTTCTCTCCTCTCTCTTCTCTTCTCTCTCTCATCTCTCTCTCTCTCCTCCTCTCTCGCCTCTCCTCTCTTTGTGAGGGGGATCTCACCTCGTCTCTGTACAGAGGGCTGGTGTAGTACATGATGTCCATGGCACTGCTGTTGAGCATGTCCCTGAGTCCGCGAACCTTGTCTGGAGTGATGGAATCCACCGTGTCTACAAACATCACACACACACAGCCGAAGTCATCAACAAAAAACACATTTCAACCCGTCTGGTGAGAAACCTAGTCCTATACAGAATGTACAGTAACCAAATGTTGTATTGTTGTCATGCATTACGGCTAAAGCACAAACAGACCAGTGGGTTTACAGGTTAATTTGTTTGTCTTTATTACACAACAACAGCTGTTGTTACTGCATTTACCTCTTAGAACTAATTGAAAGTGAAGTACAAAGTAGATGTGGGAAAATATTACACAAATACATCCACTGTTACTCACATGATAAGAACAGACACCACACCCTGCAATCTATGCTACCACAGACAACGTTTCGACCACTTAGGTGTTCAATAGGTCACAAAGTGGGTGTGGCCACACATACCTCCATCCAGGCACAGTTTGGACCTCCACTCCACAGGAAGGAACTCCACGTGTTCTGTGGAACGATCAGAAAAATGCTTCTCCTCCATCTTCCTAGCAGCCTCCCTCATCCTATAGACGAGCAATGGCACCGACACAGATCCACATTAAGAAAAAATACATTAACAAGAATGTTTGGTAATACTTCCTATGAATACCCTCTTTGTGAAGCATTATAAGTGCATTATTAATGCCTTAGAATGCAAAACATAGGTGTTAATAACTGCTCATTAACCACTCTGCTCACTTTCCCCATAATAATACTATTTATAAACATATTAGATGGTATAAAACCCAATGACAGAGTCTGAGAGGATTTTATACCATTTCATCACAGACTTCCTTGTTCCTGTAACTCACATGCTCGTATTCCTGATGATACGGCCCTGATCCATCTTCTGGCCAATCCCGTGCACCACAAAGACGATGTGTGTTGTTTCGGGTGGGGTGTCCTCGGGCGCTGCCTCCTCCACATAGCCCCGATGGAGACGCGTCCCACTACTGCCGGCTGAGGAGGAAGTAAACCAGCTCTTATACGGTATACAAGTGCACAGGGAAACACAGTGAAGGGCAGGAACACCCGCTGGAGAAAACCAACTGACAACAGTATACCAAAGTTGAGAACTGAACGGTACAAAAGATCACCCATCCCATACTTCTGCTCATTAATGAGTCACTCTAAAATTGCTGGATTTTATCCTCCTATCCATTTCATATGTTGTACGCGCATGGATTACACTTTGTATTGAATGCCATATTAGTGTAAATAAAAACTTGAACTTGATTAGCCTACTGTAACTGTACAGTTATATACAGTTATATATATGTGGTCCTCTGTAGCTCAGCTGGTAGAGCACGGCGCTCGTAACGCCAAGGTAGTGGGTTCGATCCCCAGGACCACCCATACACAAAAATGTATGCACGCATGACTGTAAGTCGCTTTGGATAAAAGCGTCTGCTAAATGGCATATTATTATTATTATTATACAGTACCAAAACAAAGTATTTGAGCAAATACCACAAAAGACTGCTAGTTCTTAGTCAGGATCATTATGAGATGATGAGACATTATAAGGGGTTCATACATGCTTATGACAATTCTTATAATGCATTATAACAATAATAGGTTGCATTGTACCTGCAGGTTTTAAGTAAGGTGTTACACAACATATTGTAGGCACTGAAACACAGAGGATTCCTATTTCATGTCAGTGGGAATAAAAACCTTTGGAGAAGCCCAGTCTCTGGGTGACAGTGCGTGCGATCTTGGAGGTGGTGGCGTCACTGTAGAGATACACCTCGTCCACACTGTGCCAGTCCACATGGCTTCGGCTTAGTTTCAAACTGTGGATTGCTGGAGGAATACGAGGAACAGTAATTAACATAGACCTAATAACTTCATTCCGTTAATGTGAATTAAGTCTCCAGTGACGTTTGGAGAAATCCCACTTGCACGCACTTAAACAGTGGTAATGTTCAGTAGTTACTAAATGGAAGAAAATGGTCCCAAACAGATATGAACTTATTCAATAAGAATCGCTTGTTTTTCTTTTATGCAAGCCGTCCATTTTAACTATGACACAGTTTGTATTCACTTTCAGGTGACCTTCTGAATGTCCCCCTGGTTTTGCTGAGCTCGGCTAAAACGAGGTCAGCTGACCAGAGCTTCCTTTGTGACGTTGGCCTAAATGCCTAAATGGTTTGACACTAAAGAAAGACAGCCTGCACACAGTATAGTGACTCACTTCCTGTAGTGCTGCACAGTAGCCTGTGTTGTCTGTAGTACAGTACAGGTTCATTGAAAGCACTTGGAAGCAGTATATGCCATATGCTTTTGCGTAGCCATGTGCGATGTTCTAGCTAGGTTTTGTTCTCTCTTTATTCTAAATGTTTGTTTTTTGGGTGCAGAACCAGTGTGAAAGTGGTGTGTGTGTGTGTTCATTCATATCATTCACATGCACCCTTCATCGACACTGTCACACCCGACGCCCCACACGGCGGCACGCCCATGTCCCACTTGCCATTGAGTCCATCCACTTTACCGTCCTTGTTGCCCACTGTGGTGGTCACCACTTCAATGGCGTCCTCGTAGGTCTCCCTCATCTGGTGCCCCCGGAAATGGGCAAGGTGCTCCAGCTCGATGAGGTCACTCTCGTCCTCCTCCAGGGGAAGCCAAGTGCCGTCGACGAACCACTGACCCCTCATCACAGGAATACAGTCCTGCTCTGTGGACATACAGAGGGGTTACACTGTGGTTATGGTGATGTCGGTCCAACTCTATTGAATGGGCAGTATCAGATGCTCTATCTGTGCTCTGAAGGGTTTGGGACTGTTATGGCAGCCATATTGAATAGAACTGGGGATCAGTGTGATATAATCAGGATTAACAAGACAAACAGTGAGGGAGAGAAGAATCATCTATAGTGATAAGAATAGGCTACTCACGGTTCCAGTAGACGGGGTAACATTCCTTCTCTTTGACGTCCACTTCGTAGAGACCACCTCTGACGCAAACAGCCTCAACGTTGACACTTATGGAATCCAGGTCGAGTTCATCTTTCTCGCATTCTCTGTCCCTCTCCACCCTCTGCGTCCCCTGTCGCCGGCTCCGCTTGGACAGCTCCCCCCTCCGCCACATCTTCCGGTTTGGGCTCGGAACCCGTGGACGACACACTGGCATCCTCTGGTTCGGTGGTGGGACTCCGACATTTGACCTTGCAGGGATTTAGTTCACATAATTTGCGGTAAATGACTTCAATTTTCAAAGAGTCGTGTCCAACAAATGGCTTCCAGGTTCTCTTGTCCTCTTTGTAGAACCATCGCACTTCCTCTGGTCCCAACTCGGTGACTACCTCCCCGCGGTGCCTGGAACTGGTGGAGCGGTTACGTTTCTTTATAGTCACATTCCCATCACTTTCGGTGTAGTTCAGGTCGTTTGTGATATCCAAGTATTCTGTCCCTGAGTCTGGGAGAGGGTGATAGCCCGAGTAAGCTTCCTCCACTAGGCCCAATATCATGCCGTCCTGAGATAAACGGTGATCGCCTAGCAGCAGCGGAGGCAGGTGTATTTCCAAGCCGGACTGGACCGAGTCCATCTCCCCGTGTATATTCTCTCCCATCGGGTCCTCGTAGCAGGTCACAAACACATCATTGGCCATATCCCAGTCATTGCTGCTCACGGAATTATTATCCGAGCTCAGTTGACGGGAGGTCGACTTAATGTCCTTAAAATTGCTCATGACTTGACAATAAAAAAGCAGCCTATTGCCTAAATAAACAATATAGCCTAGCCTACGTCCTCAACCTCATTTCTCTGTGCCTTTTGCTTACCTAATGGACTGTCATTGATAGGTCGGGGACTAACGGTTTCAAAACCTTCTCCTTGCCTACCGCAAATGCCACAATCTGTGCGCAGGTTCATCCACTCTCTCCCAGAAATAGGCTACCGAAATTGAGACTTCTTGAAATGATTGATAGATAGCACATTTTGTTCCTGACAGTAGATCTATCTGTTCACCTATTCCATTCGCATGGCTATCTGCGGTTTGCTTATTACAGATGGTCGGCTACGTGCTCCTCCCAAATGCGCGAAAAAATGCGCATCAGGGCATGTGCACGGGACACCGTAGTGACGGAAGTGCCTGCTATGGAGGATACGAATGTCTTTTTTATCCACGGGTTTGATCATAAATCGGTTTATTTATCGTTAGCCAGATTAAAAATGGCAGCCGTGTTTCTAGTTATGTTGTATGAATATTCTCCTTTATTTTACATTAGTGTCATATCCTTATGTTTCGTTGTTACCGCCGCCATGGTCCTCGGCTGGTAGGTTCATGAAATTGCCTTGACAACAACATTAGGCTATTATTATTGAATGAAGGGCTTATTTTAGCCTAAACATAACGTTGCTAGCTATCTGTCGTATCTGTGCCTACATTTAGAAGTCAGTCATGTTTATATTGTGTTCAGTAAAGCCCAATTCCTCCTCTCTTTCGCTGTAATAAAGATGGCAAAAGGCGTTGATCATTTGACAGCACACCATTATTGCTACATTGACACCTCACGTGACAACATACAGTGATACAATATTTGGCACGCGCGAAAATGAAACATTGTAGCGTTGGATAAACATGGCACTCGAGAAACTGAAACATAGTAACATTGCCTCTGAAGTTTACTGTAATGTTCACTTTTCTGCACGGTTGTCTACTCGTTTTATGGTGGTTGGCAAAAGTTAATTTTTTTATGTTCCACACAAATTGTCATACTTTTCATAAGGTAGGCTATTAGAGAGCTTTATTTAAAATCAGAAATGGGACAATATAAACTTTTATAAAAATTGGTGTGCGTGCAATATCAAATTGTCAAGTTGTTATATAGGCTACTTCAACAATCTTGTCTGATCTCTTATACACACACAACATAATGGAATATCTCCATTCAAATGTTCTGTGCTGCTCCACCTCGTCCCCCATAGGTTTGGTTTCGATGTCCCAGTGATTCTTCGTAGCTCTGATGAGACTGAGTCAGTCTTGCCTGTCCCAGAGAAGAGGATGGTTCAGGTGACCAACCCCTTTGCCCTGGAGATGGGGTCCTCCGGGGTGGCCTCTGTGACTGGTAAGAGAGCATGCAATGACAGTTATACTGCAACACACCACACATAGGGCCAGTTTCCTGGACCCAGATTAAGCCTCCAGGGCCAAAAAGCTATTTCAATGGACATTCGGGGAAAACCGGCCCATATAGCATAGTGTTATATTAGGTCTATGCCACATACTATGTTATAGGTGTGCCGCCATGAATTATATATAAATATAGATTTTATTGCATATTATAAACTGGGTGGTTTGGGTCCTGGATGCTGATTGGCTGAAACAGAAATACTTGTTTACTGTTGTATTTATGGTGGTAACCAGTTTATAATAGCATTAAGGCACCTCAGGGGGTTGTGATATATGGCCAATATACCACTGCTAAGGGCTGTATCCAGGCATTCCACTTCCCGTCCTGCATAAGTACAGCCCTTAGCCGTGGTATATTTAAGCAATAAGGCCCGAGGGGGTGTGGTATATGGCCAGTATACCACGGCTAAGGGCTGTTCTTATGCACGACGTAACGCGGAGTGCCTGGATACAGCCCTTAGCCGTGGTATATTGGCCATATACCACAAACTCCAGAGGTGCCTTATTGCTATTATAAACTGGTTACCAACATAATTAGAGCAGTAAAAATAAATGTTTTGTCATACCCGTGGTATACGGTCTGATATACTGTACCACGGCTGTCAGCCAATCAGCATTCAGGGCTCAAACCACCCAGTATACCACACCCCGTCGGGCCTTATTGCCTAAATATAAAGGAACCTCAACCTATATATGTGGCCCAGGTGCCTTACATTTACATTTACATTTACGTCATTTAGCAGACGCTCTTATCCAGAGCGACTTACATGAGCAATTAGGGTTTAGTGCCTTGCTCAAGGGCACATCGACAGATTTTTCACCTAGTCGGCGCGGGGATTAGAACCAGCGACCTTTCGGTTACTGGCACAACGCTCTTAACCACTAAGCTACCTGCCGCCTTATTGCTTAAATATACCACATTTTCTTTTTGAATGGTTAACCAGGGAATTCTACTACTACTACTGTATCCATGGCAATTTCCCCAACCCCATCTGACTGCCACTTTTAATCATTCTTTATTTTCCTCCTTCCAGAGGGTGTGTCCCTGCGTCCATGCTGCCTGGAGTCCTGTGTGCTGAGCTGTTACTGGGGTTGTGGTGTCCATGCCCTCCAGGGGGCGCTACAGACCCACCAACATGGCCCCAGCAGGCTCAGCACACCACAACAGTTCCAGGAAGCCCTGCACTTCCAGTACCACCACTGCCAAAGCTTCCAGTATCCTTCTCTGGGGCCATAATCTGAGTCATTGTTGCTTCCTTAGTTTAGTATTAGTAGTACATGTTTTGTGCATGTGATGGTCCTATTTGATATTCGGGTTGTAGAATATATAATTTTCTCATGTTATGTTTATCCTTTATTATATATTGCAAGTTTCATTGATGTTTTATGATATATCATGATATTTAATCATCGTGATATTTAGATGTAACACTAAGATTGAGGATGGAGTACATGCAAGGCAAAGGATAGATCTCTTTCAGTTCAGTTTCATCATGTATTTCACCCGTTAACCAAAGCCTCAGCATCGGTGGAGAGGACGGAGAGGAGCATTATACCGAGATGCCAGCCGAACTGAGGATCACAGATTTTGGTCTTTTGCCACGGGAACGCTACCCCCTGGTGGCTCTCCTCACACTGGCCGAGCCTGAAGCCAGGGACACATACAATATTGTGAGTTTGACTGTCATGGTAACACTTGGAACATGTGTCCATAAAATGTATATAGTATGTATAAGTTGGAAGTAGAAGCCTAAGTGTTGTTGTCCATTGTTTACTCAAAGTAGGGGAGGGATGGTAGGGGTAGGGAATATATACAGAACCAGTCAAAAGTTTGGACACACCTACTCATTCAAGGGTTTTTCTTTATTTTTACTATTTTCTACATTGTAGAATAATAGTGAAGACATCAAAACTATGAATTAACACATAAGGAATCATGTAGTGTTAAACAAATCTTAGATTTGTCAAAATAGCCACCCTTTGCCTTGATGACAGATTTGCACACTCTTGGCATTCTCTCAACCAGCTTAATGAGGAATGCTTTTTCAACAGTCTTGAAGGAGTTCCCACATATGCTGAGCACTTGTTGGCTGCTTTTCCTTCACTCTGCGGTCCGACTCATCCCAAACCATCTCAATTGGGTTGAGGTAGGGTGATTTTGGAGGCCAGGTCATCTGATGCAGCACTCCATCACTCTCCTTGGTCAAATAGCCCTTACACAGCCTGGAGGTGTGTTTTGGGTCATTGTCCTGTTGAAAAACAAATGATAGTCCCACTAAGCGCAAACCAGATGGGATGGCGTATCACTGCAGAATGCTGTGGTAGCCATGCTGGTTAAGTGTGCCTTTAATTCTAAATAAATCACTGACAGTGTCACCAGCAAAGCACCCCCACACTATCACACCACCTCCTCCATGCTTCACGGTGGTAACGACACATGCAGAGATCATCCGTTCACCTACTCTGCATCTCACATAGACACGGCAGTTGGAACCAAAAATCTCAAATTTGGACTCATCAGACCAAAAGACAGATTTCCACCGGTCTAATGTCCATTGCTCGTGTTTCTTGGCCCAAGCAAGTCTCTTCTTATTATTGGTGTCCTTTAGTAGTGGTTTCTTTGCAGCAATTTGACCATGAAGGCCTGATTCACGCAGTCTCATCTGAACAGTTGATGTTGAGATGTGTCTGTTACTTGAACTCTGTGAAGTATTTATTTGGACTGCAATCTGAGATGCAGTTAACTCTAATGAATTTATCCTCTGCAGCAGAGGTAACTCTGGGTCTTCCTTTCATGTGGCGGTCCTCATGAGAGCAAGTTTCATCATAGCGCTTGATGGTTTTTGCGACTGCACTTGAAGAAACCTTCAAAGTTCTTGACATTTTCCAGATTGGCTGACCTTCATGTCTTAAAGTAATGATGGACTGTAATTTCTCTTTGCTTATTTGAGCTGTTCTTGCCATAATATGGACTTGGTCTTTTCCCAAATAGGGCTATCTTCTGTATACCACCCCTACCTTGTCACAACACAAATTATTGGCTCAAACGAATTAAGGAAAGAAATTCCACAAATTAAGTTTTAACAAGGCACACCTGTTAATTGAAATGCATTCCAGGTGACTACCTCGTGAAGCTGGTTGAGAGAATGCCAAGAGTGTACAAAGCTGACATCAAGGCAAAGGGTGGCTACTTTGTAGTATCTCAAATCTCAAATATATTTGATTTGTTTAACACTTTTTTGGTTATTTCATAGTTTTGATGTCTTCACTCTAATTCTACAATGTAGAAAATAGTAAAAAATAAAGAAAAACCCTTGAATTAGTATGTGTGTCCAAACTTTTGACTGGTACTGTATATACAATATATATATATATATATATTCTTACCCCAAAAAAATATGGGGGATTGGAAATGATGCAGACAATTACATTGATGGAAGCCACTATCTATCTGCAATAATAAAGCTGATCTACTCCCTAAAAACAAAAACACTTGGAACATCGTCATATGGGGCCAGTTTCGTGGACACAGATTATACCTAGTCCTGGGGGTAAAGAACATGCTCAATGGAGAATTCCCACTGAAAGTGCTTTTTATTCCAGGACTAATCTGTGTCCCGGAAACCGTCCAATCACTTCAATGTGTATAAACCTAAGGATAACGATGCAATCCACACCCGGTACAAGGTGTGCTCAGTAAGTTTAAAGGTACCTTCTCTGCGTGGGTGTTGTCCTGGATGTGACACTCATTATCCCTCATGGTTCCTCTCTCTCAGGTCGCCAGTGTCACCGTGGTTCATGTTCCAGATGACAAATACAGCCTGTCGGCACGGATCCTATTTCAATATCTCCTCACGGCACAAGGGAACATGTATGAGTTAAAGGTATAGATTTGTTTTTTTTATTCATCATTTTTTTATCCAGTCCCATTGAAATAAGAATATATTTTTCTATGGAGTGGGCAAGGGCTCAGTGAGATTACAGTAGGCTATCATAACTTTTTTCAGATCTTTGGTTGTGTTCCATTATCCAGACTAGCGTAACACTTAGAATGCAGGCCAATGCATTGCTTCCTTCTTAGTGCTATGCTATTGTAGATATTGGAACAAAGTGTTGGCTGTTAAGAGCAAGTCTGATGCTGGCAGTTGACATTCTCATAAATGTTGTCTGTTTCCTTCTCCAGTCACTCTTTATGTCAGCTGAGAGCATGGGGTTGTCAGGGGCGACTGACCCCGCCCCTAGCACAGAGATACCACCAGAACCACCTGGAAAGGAAGAAGAGGAGAAGATGCCAGGAATGGAAGATGAAGAGGAGTGGTCAGAGGTGGGAAAAGCCAAAGACTGTGTGGTGTGTCAGAATGCACCTGTTAACCGCGTCCTGCTACCCTGCAGACACGCCTGTGTGTGTGATGGCTGTGTCCATCGCTTCCAACACTGCCCCATATGCAGAGCTTTCGTATTGGAGTCCTTTGCCCTGTCCCAGGAGCCCCCTATGGAGGAGGAAGATGAGGTAGAGGAAGAATGAACTGTGATGTAGCAGGTCAATGTTATTAGTATTTATGATATAAACAGGAATGTTACTCATTGGAGTAGCTGTATGGTGTCCAGAATGTGTATGAGCATTGTCACTATAGGTGCTGGTCCAATACAGATATAGTAGTACCGTTTCAAGGGAATCAGTGTTTATCATAGAATGGATGTGATATGGTTTTACGTCAGTCATTTATTGGACATTTCCAACTGTTTTAGGACTGCGTTATCATATACATTTTATTTTATCACGTTGATAGTTGTGGTGGAAACTATTCCTTGAACTGTTTGTAAACAATGTAGATATGGAAAACCTATTATTTGTTTTTATGTGTAATGTATAGATAATGTATTTTATTTATCAATATACAATACATTACATGTTTTTTCCCTTCTTTTGAGCGTTGATCATTTGTAGGGACAGAAATGATGAATTTCATTTTTAGGAAATTGGCAAAGAAGCCAAACCTGGCATCAGAGCGTTACAGAGGTAAAAAAAAACAGCGTAACAGTGATCAGCATGATATAACGTTTTTAATGTGGCATACTCCTTTTGTATGCTTTTACAGATACAGGCGCTCCAATGGCAAAAGTATTTATTGTCTCGTTAATATAATTCTAAATACTGGGCCAGTGGGCAGAAATGTAAAACTCTGAGTGGGTAGAGAGACTTTAATGTATGCATTTCCCATATCTGTAATCTGTAACTGTTTAGATGTCACTTCTTGGCAACTCTATATAGAAATAGTTCTCTGATAAGAACAGATCCCTAATCCACTTTTCTCCAAATAAACTTTTCTGCATCATACAACTTGGCCAAAAAACTAGTGAGAAACAAAACTGGTTTTACTGGTGAGAACGCTGCAACAGCAAACCCCCTCCCTCCCCATTTACACTTCTAGAAATACTGATATAGGAATTTATATGGGCTTGTAGTCCAGTTTGGATTCGAGCTTCTTCGAATCGGCCACCTTGCGAACCGCCTTCATGAAATCCTCTTGAGTGACGTACTCGTGATCGGTACGGATCGCAAACATACCTGGTAGACCGAAAGAGACCAGACTTAGGGAGATCAAAACAATGTGGTTGGATTCAAGAAAATCTCAGTTTTTGTCAAGCTAGACTGATAATGTTAGTCATGACAGCTACCTGCTTCAGTGCAGACGTTTCTCAAATCGGCTCCGTTGAAGCCGTCCGAAAGCTTCACGATCGCTTCGTAATCTGAGAAGAAAAAAGCCAACATGTTAAAAGGAACAGTACTTGAAGTCTAAAACACAACTTCAACCTAATGTATCCCAGCTGTGTTAAAATCAAGACCAGTCTCTCCTAAGCACACACTCTCACTCACACACCTATCTCTCCGTGTTTGGTGATGGGGCCAGAGTGGATCTTCAGGATGTCCAAACGGGCCTGTTCATTGGGCAGCTCAATGTCTGTTGGAACAGTAGAAATAACCACGTCACTCTTTTCATACCATAGACATTTACATGTGTTACTACCTGGTTATGAGGAGAAGGAGGTGGAGGGAGATCATTGTGACCCTATGTCCCAAAGGTGATAAGGTACTGTATGGCTCAGTTGGTTGAGCATGGCCGTTGTAACGTCAGGATTGTTGGTTCGAGTCCCGGCGCCACCCATTTCGAAAAATGTATGAAGCATGACTAAGTCCCTTTGGATAAAAGTCTACTAAATGGCATATATTATATTATATTAAGATGATTGAGTAAGTATGAAGGAGACTGGGTGATGATGATGGGCAGAGGGAGGAAGAACCTACGGATCTTGCGGTCCAGTCTGCCGGGACGCAGCAGTGCGGGGTCCAGGGTATCAGGCCGGTTGGTAGCCATGATCATCTTGACTCTGTGCAGGGTGTCAAAGCCGTCCATTTGGTTCAGCAGCTGGGTACACACACAGAGATAAGACGCTGAGAAGCCAACTCAGCGAGAGGATTATCTGCCATGGATCCTAATAATGTTAAACCCCTTACAGTAATACCCTTCATTGCTTATTGAAATGCCAGTCAAGCTTGCTGCAAGCTACACGTCATTGAGTTCTCATCTTCAACATCCCCACAATATATACTGTACTGACCAAGCCACAGAACCAGGTCTTTACCCAAATAAATATGTTTTATAGAACCACCATTCTCATAGAAAGCAACGTCTGTTGAACAATATCCATTCTATGTAACCTATATCTAAGTGTTATGGTTGCTCATTTTACCTCCATCAGAGTCCTCTGGATCTCTCTGTCAGCTGATGTACCCTCTGAGAACCGTCGGCCACCTTGGAGACAAAAACAAGTATTTAACTTCATTCGCAGTTCCCAGACACTGTACGCAATGCTGAGCCAAGGAATAAATATGGCATCAGGATGCTTAGCCTGGTCCCAGATCAGTTTGTACTGTATAGCCAACAGGTTGACAATGCATTACTCATCTCATATTTAAATTATATACTGTATTCTATAATATTCTATTGTATCTTAGTCCATGCCGCTCTGTCATTGCTTGTCCATGTATATATTCTTAAATTCCATTCCTTACTTAGATTTGTGTGTATTGGGTATATGCTGTGAAATTGTTAGATATTACTTGTTAGATATTACTGCACTGTCGGAGCTAGAAGCACAAGCATTTTGCTACACCCGCAATAACATCTGTTAAACACGTGTATGTGACAAATACAATTTGATTTGATTTACAGTACAAACTGATCTGGGGCCAGGCTACAGCACAGGATGCTCACCGATGGCGTCTATCTCGTCCATAAAGATGATACAGGGCTGGTGGTCCCTGGCATAGTTGAACATCTCCCTGATGAGCCTGGCGCTCTCTCCAATGTACTTATCCACAATGGAGCTGGACACAACCTGCCACAGGGGGTGCGAAGAAGACGGACACGCTATTGCGTCAGCCATGTTTTTCAAAGAATGGTGAAGAGAGTCAGAAAGGACAGTGGAGGAAAACAAAGTGTAGCCTACTACTCACCTTGAGGAAGTTACAGTCCATCTGACTGGCTACAGCTCTGGCCAGAAGAGTCTTTCCGGTGCCTAATGAAAAGATAAGCGCATAAAGGAAATTATGAATAAACCCTCAGGACCTCAGTGACGTAACTTAAATCGCATTATTCAGGGTGAGTCTCAAAAGTATTTCTGTGATTCGCCGCACCCTTTATTCCATGACCTCCTTCTCAAAACACATTGGAGGAGAAGGTCCGAGGGGAGGGACCTCAGATCTTCTCATCCATGTGTTTTGAGAGGTAGGTGAAGGAATCAAGGATATGAGAAATCAAGGAAACACTTGAGATTCAGCCTCGGTCTATAGTGAAATCCTGCTATATAGTGACTCACCTGGAGGTCCGTAGAGCAGGCAGCCCTTTGGAGGGATAATTCCCACCCTCAGGAATAGCTCAGGGTTGGTCAGGGGCAGCTCAATCACCTGGAACACAGGGAACATAGGGGAAAGGTCATATAAAAAAACCTGACTGTCTCAAGAAAAACACGTAACCACATTTTCTAAAAATATCGTAAGTGTACTGTAGGATCTGCTAGATGTTACCTCTCTCAGTTCACGGATCTGCTCGGCCAAGCCCCCGATCTCTGAGTAGGAGATGCTGCCTGGATCTTCATGGGACATGTTGTACACCAGGGGGTCCACCTCTCTGGGCAGATACCTGTGGTGGGAGGTAGGGACGGGACATGTTAACTGCCATCAGGGGCAACATTTAGGGCTGACATACCCTTTACTTGGAACATTTTGTGTCAGTAGACAGAACTAACAGTTGCTCAATGGCTGTGTGTGTGTGTGTGTGTGTGTACGTGTACAGTGCCTACCTCATAATGGTGAGGGTGGTCATGTCCAGGGCCACTCTGGTGCCTGGTTTGAGCTGCGATTTATCCAGCTGTGTGAAAATGACAGATAGACAGATGAGCTCTGTGGTCCTCTGTAGCTCAGCTGGTAGAGCACGGCGCTTGTAATGCCAGGGTAGTGGGTTCGATCCCCGGGACCACCCATACACAAAAATGTATGCACGCATGACTGTAAGTCGCTTTGGATAAAAGCGTCTGCTAAATGGCATATTATTATATTATTATTATTACAATCATGGAGAGATGACACTGACACTCACAGAAAGTAAATAAACGCTGACGATACGAGGGTAACGTCATGGCTCAAGACTTACTTGTCTGCGGCAGCCAACAACATAGCGAGGTCCATTGGTTGCCTTGACAATGACTGAAGAGAGGAAGAGAATGAACATGACATAATATGTAATGTCTGACATATGTATGGGTCATAGGACGATTGCAATGATGTTACAACTTACATTTCTCCTCTGTCAGCTGTTTGAGCACTTCACCGACAATCTACATAAGTATGACAAGAAGTTGCAGTTAAAATATATTCTTTATGATACGGAGACACTTTTAGTACGTCACTATATTGCAGATCAATAAATCATGTTGTGTGAATACACAATCTTACCTGACCAACACTTTGTAAGGCCTTCAGGTCATTTTCAGATTTTTCATATTGTTTTGTCTGTTCCTTGAGCTGTTCCCTCACTGAAAACAGATGATACAAGTATGAAATCAAGCTATGTAGCAAGCTAATTAACTCTAGCTAGAAGGTAGGGCTGTGTTCTGTTAGCTAACTAGCTAGCTAGCGATAGCTGATCATGTCTGTTATTGTTTTTCCGTGACTTCAAGTTAGATTCTAACTACTATTGTTAGCTAGCGGTCTTGGCAAATAACTGGTTAAATAGCTTGTTAAGCACAGCGAACACACTTCAATATACGGTTAACTCCAGCTATTTTGGTAGCTAGCATTATGCTAACACGTTAGCCGGTTGTCATGACCATTAATTTCTATGGCCGATTCTACTGCATGACAAAGCGAGTTAGCCAACAACCGCTTAGCTAACTGGTCATGTTGCTTATTTTAGTTAGATAACCCCTTTTATGTGCATTATTCTGAAATATTGACAAAGGCAAACTAATATATTACTTACACTCTTTTAAACGTCCATCAATCTCTTTATGTTCAAGTAATCTTTTTCTGTAATCTTGAAGTCCCTTTTCTCTGGTGTCAGCCATTTTGCCTCTATGAATTATGGGAATTGTAAACGTCAGAGAGGATGTATTTTTTTTTCTGTGACATCGTGCAATTTGTCATCTTTGCCACATGGGGCAGTGTCCCCTCATTCTTCTCATTATGACCAGGACCAATGGATGCTCCAAAGCAGTGTTTCCCAACCAGGGGTACTAGGACCGCTAAGGGTACTTGGCCTATCCACAGGGGGTACTGGAGAAGACTCATGAGATGATAGGCGTACTGGTAAAATGCACATGAGGGGGTACATTTACATTTACATTTTAGTCATTTAGCAGACGCTCTTATCCAGAGCGACTTACAGGAGCAATTAGGGTTAAGTGCCTTGCTCAAGGGCACATTAACGTCATTTAGCAGACGCTCTTAGCCAGAGCGACTCACAAATTGGTGCGTTCACCCTATAGCCAGTGGGATAACCACTTTACAATTTGGGGGGGGGGTTAGAAGGATTACTTTATCCTATCCCAGGTATTCCTTAAAGAGGTGGGGTTTCAAATGTCTCCGGAAGGTGGTGAGTGACTCCGCTGTCATGGCGTCGTGAGGGAGCTTGTTCCACCATTGGGGTGCCAGAGCAGCGAACAGTTTTGACTGGGCTGAGCGGGAGCTATGCTTCCGCAGAGGAAGGGGAGCCAGCAGGCCAGAGGTGGATGAACGCAATGCCCTCGTTTGGGTGTAGGGACTGATCAGAGCCTGAAGGTACAGAGGTGCCGTTCCCCTCACTGCTCCATAGGCAAGCACCATGGTCTTGTAGCGGATGCGAGCTTCAACTGGAAGCCAGTGGAGTGTGCGGAGGAGGGGGGTGACGTGAGAGAACTTGGGAAGGTTGAACACCAGACGGGCTGCGGCATTCTGGATGAGTTGTAGGGGTTTAATGGCACAGGCAGGGAGGCCAGCCAACAGCGAGTTGCAGTAGTCCAGACGGGAGATGACAAGTGCCTGGATTAGGACCTGTGCCGCTTCCTGTGTAAGGCAGGGTCGTACTCTCCGAATGTTGTAGAGCATGAACCTGCAGGAGCGGGTCACCGCCTTGATGTTGGCGGAGAACGACAGGGTGTTGTCCAGGGTCACGCCTAGGCTCTTCGCACTCTGGGAGGAGGACACAGCGGAGTTGTCAACCGTGATGGCGAGATCATGGAACGGGCAGTCCTTCCCCGGGAGGAAGAGCAGCTCCGTCTTGCCAGGGTTCAGCTTGAGGTGGTGATCCGTCATCCATACTGATATGTCTGCCAGACATGCAGAGATGGGATTCGCCACCTGGTTATCAGAAGGGGGAAAGGAGAAGATTAGTTGTGTATCGTCAGCGTAGCAATGATAGGAAAGGCCATGTGAGGATATGACAGAGCCAAGTGACTTGGTGTATAGGGAGAAAAGGAGAGGGCCTAGAACTGAGCCCTGGGGGACACCAGTGGTGAGAGCACGTGGTGCGGAGACAGCTTCTCGCCACGCCACTTGGTAGGAGCGACCGGTCAGGTAGGACGCAATCCAGGAGTGAGCCGCGCCGGAGATGCCCAGCTCGGAGAGGGTGGAGAGGAGGATCTGATGGTTCACAGTATCAAAGGCAGCAGACAGGTCTAGAAGGACAAGAGCAGAGGAGAGAGAGTTAGCTTTAGCAGTGCGGAGAGTCTCCGTGACACAGAGAAGAGCAGTCTCAGTTGAATGACCAGTCCTGAAACCTGATTGGTTTGGATCAAGAAGGTCATTCTGAGAGAGATAGCAAGAGAGTTGGCTAAAGACGGCACGCTCAATAGTTTTGGAAAGAAAAGAAAGAAGGGATACTGGTCTGTAGTTGTTGACATCAGTGGGGTCGAGTGTTGGTTTTTTGAGAAGGGGAGCAACTCTCGCTCTCTTGAAGACGGAAGGGACATGGCCAGCGGTCAAGGATGAGTTGATCAGCGAGGTGAGGTAGGGGAGAAGGTCACCGGAGATGGTCTGGAGAAGGGAGGAGGGGATGGGGTCAAGCGGGCAGGTTGTTGGGCGGCCTGCAGTCACAAGTCGCAGGATTTTATCTGGAGAGAGAGGGGAGAAAGAAGTCAAAGCATAGGGTAGGGCAGTGTGAGCAGGACCAGCAGTGTCATTAGACTTAACAAACGAGGATCGGATGTCGTCAACCTTCTTTTCAAAGTGGTTGACGAAGTCATCCACAGAGAGAGAGGAGGGGGGGGGGGGGGGGGGAGGATTCAGGAGGGAGGAAAATGTGGCAAAGAGCTTCCTAGGGTTAGAGGCAGATGCTTGGAATTTAGAGTGGTAGAAGGTGGCCTTAGCAGCAGAAACAGATGAAGAAAATGTAGAGAGGAGGGAGTGAAAAGATGCCAGGTCGGCAGGGAGTTTAGTTTTCTTCCATTTCCGCTCCGCTGCCCGGAGCTCTGTTCTGTGAGCTCGCAATGAGTCATCAAGCCACGGAGCTGGAGGGGAGGACCGAGCCGGCCGGGAGGATAGGGGACACAGAGAGTCAAAGGATGCAGAAAGGGAGGAGAGGAGGGTTGAGGAGGCAGAATCAGGAGATTGGAGGGAGAAGGATTGAGCAGAGGGAAGAGATGATAGGATGGAAGAGGAGAGAGTAGTGGGAGAGAGAGAGCGAAGGTTGCGGCGGCGCATTACCATCTGTGTAGGGGCAGAGTGAGTAGTGTGGGAGGAGAGCGAGAGAGAAAAGGAAACAAAGTAGTGGTCGGAGACATGGAGGGGAGTTGCAGTGAGATTAGTAGAGGAGCAGCATCTAGTGAAGATGAGGTCAAGCGTATTGCCTGCCTTGTGAGTAGGGGGGGACGGTGAGAGGGTGAGGTCAAAAGAGGAGAGGAGTGGAAAGAAGGAGGCAGAGAGAAATGAGTCAAATGTGGACATAGGGAGGTTGAAATCCCCCAAAACTGTGAGGGGTGAGCCATCCTCAGGGAAGGAACTTATCAAGGCGTCAAGCTCATTGATGAACTCTCCAAGGGAACCTGGAGGGCGATAGATGACAAGGATATTAAGCTTAAATGGGCTAGTGACTGTGACAGCATGGAATTCAAATGAGGAGATAGACAGATGGGTTAGGGGAAAAATTGAGAATGTCCACTTGGGAGAGATGAGGATTCCTGTACCACCACCCCTCTGGCCAGATGCTCTCGGGGTATGCGAGAACACATGGTCAGACGAGGAGAGAGCAGTAGGAGTAGCAGTGTTTTCAGTGGTGATCCATGTTTCCGTCAGCGCCAGGAAGTCGAGGGACTGGAGGTTGGCATAGGCTGGGATGAAGTCAGCTTTGTTGGCAGCAGAACGGCAGTTCCAGAGGCTGCCTGCGACCTGGAACTCCACGTGGGTGGTGCGTGCAGGGACCACCAGGTTAGAGAGGCAGCAGCCACGCGGTGTGGTGCGTTTGTGTAGCCTGTGCAGAGAGGAGAGAACAGGGATAGGCAGAGGCATAGTTGACAGGCTGTACTTCAGGGGTACTCCGGGCAGAGCAAAATTCAGTTGGTGGTACAGCAAGTGAAAAAGGTTGCGAACCACTGCTCTAAAGGATGCCGCTCGAACCCAAAATAAGTTTAGTTAGGAAATAAAATATTTTCCCCTGCTTTCAAATCACAAAAACACATTATTCTAACTCAGTATGAATCTGGTAAAGTTTGGCTTGGGTGACTTTCCCATGATGAGTCACAGATGAATAATAATAATATTTTATGACACTCTTCTAGTCTGGATATCATCTAATAATATTTTACAGAGCACGTCATTTTGTTATGAGAAGCTAAGGTTTTTCATAGCATGATGAATCCCTGAACTTCCTGAGAAGAGAATGGGAGGGGGTGCAGATTGATTGTGAGTTGGTGGTTTAGACTATCAGTTTGGTTGAATCACTTCTCATGTGTTCTTTGTGAGCATAGTAGGCAGTGGAGGTGGCTAAAGTGAGGAAGCAAAGCTATAGAACAGCTGTGTGTATTTTACACACCCCTACCACCATCACTTCCGCCCACAAACACAGGAAAAGGTCAACAAAGACAAAAGACGGTCATAAAATGTATCTGTTGTCCACACTTTCAGCCTTTTCGTTTTTTTCACCATCACTTTATTTAACTTCTATAGCATCTCTTTTTTAGTCCATGTGTGTAATAGGGTAGAGAGCCAAAAGCAGGCCTGTTTGAATCATTCTAACATGTAAACACTTAACTTAATGGATTGTTTCAGAAAGACGCCTTATGCAAGACCCCTCAGGCCTTGCTATCATAATGCACTATGTCTTCTTCCTGTCACTAACTAGCCTGAGAATAGAAGACACTGGGTGCTCTCACCCTGATAAGACACATTGCGACTGGAGGCCCATCTGCATTTCCTGTATTCACAGAAATGACTGTATATTTGTTGAAGGGTATAAGGAACGTCACAGCGTGATGTCAGTGGGACAGTAGAGCTGTGTAGGATGTTTATTCAACTTAGTGGAGGGTACCTGCCTGCCTGCCTACCTGCCTACCTGCCTGCCTACCTGCCTACCTACCTACCTACCTACCTGAGGTTGAGGGTTGTTGGGGGTTGATGTCAGGAAGGTTCTGGAGTATGGTATGAGAGTGAGTTGTAGAAGCTGTGTTAGAGAGACCATAGGGGACATTGCAGGGACAAAACACAATGTTTGATTGGTGGAACATTTTCTATGCTATTAAATAAAATGTAATGTAAAACAATTGCCATTGTAATAGGAGTTTCCAGTTGAACAAAAAGGAGAGCAGTCATAAGTAAAGGCTATCAACACGGAGACCATCCAGCACAGAAGCAGCGAACATGTTAAAATTGCCTTCTCTGAGCAGGCCCTTATATCCTAATCAGATAGCACAACTGTTCTGTTAACAATATGCTTGTAGAAAACCCAACATTTAAGGCAATGAATTTCGTCACCAGCTATATAGTTATAAACATCAGCTGTTGTGTGTGTGTGTGTGTGTGTGTGTGTGTGTGTGTGTGTGTGTGTGTGTGTGTGTGTGTGTGTGTGTGTGTGTTGTACTATTACAGAGTTATAAAA